TTATGGGAACTCTTACACACGAATTACACTTTGTCTTGAAATTTTATTAGCACCGAGATTCGACTATCTCGCTTCGAGATAAAAATCTGAAAGTATAATGCAAATGAGCAAATTAAAGAAACATACGTGTTTCAAAGTAAGGTACGTTGTGGAAGAGCACTGTAGTAATAGAAAATGCCACTGGTAAGAGAAATTTATGTCTGCGTCAGTGGAAATGAAGAATATCGAAGGGGGATACAATCTCTGTGCATGTACATCCCAAGAAATTATGGAATACAGCAATTTCCCGCAAGAATATTGTTCGCGGACGAAGTAACATTCAACGCACGTGGTATGATTAATCTTCGTAACGACCTCGCCGGGGCCGATGGAGCTCCACGCACGCTGATAAAATCTAATTTGCAGGGATGACATCTTCTAAATGTCTGATTCGACTTCTAAGGAGTTCTTAATAAAGAAAAATATTCGTCCCGTTATTTGTTTTACAAATACATCAGGTTAATCAGCAGGTTAATCTAAAGTTTAAAGAAGGAAAGCAGTAGAAAAATTTTCAAGAATCTTCAAGAAGAGAAACACGAAAACTTTGCCTAAAATATGTGACATTTTATTCAACCAGATTTTGATATTCTTATAGCACACTCGGTGGTCACAGATGAAAGATCTCGTAGCAAAGTCATGCAGTCATAATAATGTAAAGGAATGTAAAGAGGTAGCAGATGGTATTCGTTGAACTAAGAAGAATTGCAAGTACACGGCTGTTTGCCACAAATGCAGCTGGAAGATGCGATATATCAAACGAATATTGGAATCCGAGTGTTGCCAGAGGAATTTCCTCCGCAATAACTTTCAAAGTCAATTATTTCGTTTTTATTTATTTACTTATCACCAGCCGTGAAACGTTACACAGAGATTTATCACGTCTACTAAAATATTTTTAAACAAACATTTTATACGTTTTTGCATACAGATTTTCAATTCAAACGTCTCGCGAAACGTCTATCTAAAATTTTGGTTCACATCGTACCATACATTTTATCAGGTCTGCGAGCGCGCTTGAGTCGCATA